ATCATTTTCGCATGCCGCAAATAGCCTGGGGCGAGTGAAATTCCATAAGCTCACATGGGAGGATTTTCAACTAGCCGGTTCACGCCCACAAGTTCCTCCTCCTCTCCAGGACATGGTCCTGGGCCTTGGCTCATCACTAAAGGTCATGGAATCACTTCCCACTGATCGAAGTCTCCTGGTAAACTATCGTGTCGTTGGAGGCTATCAAAATATTTGAATCGTGGATTACGGTCTGTTCATTGGGGCTGCCGAAAAGTTGCAAAGATTTATGAACGTAATAATTACAAATTTGCTAATTGATTTATTGTCGAGTGCATAAACACCTTTCGCTTAATTTATGCCGCTGCCGTCTGAGCCGGGCGGGGATGTGGCTTTCGTTCCTCTTTGTATCGTTTGTGTTTTCTTTAAATACCTGTTCGGAGTCAGGGAATTTATGCACCAGAGGAGCAACCTGTGAGCCGAAGCAATCAGGCCGAGCATCGGACAGCGAGCATTGGGCGCGCTTTTCGGGATGGGATGATGTACGACGAATGCCCTGCCACAATCGAACATAACATACACATAGGACCAACCATATAACATATATATGCTGGCAGACATGTACGGATACTCAAACCGTTCATTATAAAGGAGTCAGGTCGTCAGGTGAGCTGGAAAAGAGAGGCCGACAACCGCAGGCAATCACTGGCAAGAGGCAACGCAAATTAATTATTAATCAACGGAATGAACCGATGCAGCTCCGGGGAGGGGGCTCGGCGGTTGGCAGATCATTCCACGGAGGTGGAGTCTACCAGCCCACCACAGCCCCTTGCCGCATGATCAGCGATCTGCGATCCTTGGGCCTCGGGAGAGTGATTTATGCTCGCGATCTCCGCTCCCAAAGCTAACGAATCCCAGGCCCTGGCCCTGGCCCAAGCCCATGCCCAAAACCTCAAAAAAACCAAGCTCAAGCTCAAGCTCAAATCCAAACCAAACTGACGATGTTGCTGCCAAGATGGTCGATGCACATAATGACGACGGCGATGCGATGGAGATGAGTCCAACAACACCGACAGCCAGAAGAAGACGACGCCAACTCGGAGGCTCTTCACTCATGCAGTGCAATCAAGTTCTGCCAACACTCACCGAAGGAGTTCTTACATATCCGGACAGGGTCAATCACTCTGCTGAGGTAAAAGTGTTCTCAGTGTCTAGCTTCGAGATTCATTTGACCTACAGTACTTGCAAGAAATAAAAATTGTCCATATTACCTAGTCCAGTATCTTGAAACGCGTTTTTATTTATTATTATATTAGTATGTTTTTATTTTATTTTATTTGACATTGTAACCACTTTAAATACTTAGGCAGTAGTCTTTTGCGTTTGCAAATTGTGGAACTTTACAAAACTTGCGATCTTGAGATTACAACAACAAATCACATGCATTTTGCAGAACTGACTACGAAGGCAGTACACCGATGCTCTTCCCGAAACATCTCGTGCCCATGCCTGATTTAGGTAAAATGTACAAATACTAAAAAAAGTAAAAGACATTTCGTAGAATCGCTTTATATTAAAATTGTACAAATTCTTACATTGAAAATGGTATCTATAAAAACCTATTTAACCAAAACACGGGAGGATCTATATATTAAGTATTATTTTAAACTAAGATAAATTATTATAATAGAAGAATTTGGGTAAACTTTTTTAAAAGCCACTACAATACCTAAACTGAATTAAATATCAATCTGAACTGAGGGGAAACAGTAATAAACCGTAAAGCTCAATAAAAAATTATTAGAATGCCAATAATCACTTTTAATTAAATTTAAAAATATTTTTTTAAATACTTAATTTCGTTACCCTCATTAGGTTTCGAAACGTTCAAAAGATGTTTAAATATATTTAATATAGGTATGCTTCATTTATAAAAACTTTAAAGCTAAACTTTGAAAAGTTTGCCATTCTAGCTATTTAGTAAAAACATACATACTTCGAAATATTTAGTAATCTCATGCTTAAAGTAATCAAAATATTCATGATTTATTTACAATTCTATTCTGTTTATTTGTATGATGGATCCCCATCATTCCTGTAATATAATGAAGACTATACATAAGTCTATCTACAGAAGCTATTCAAAGCCACAACTGAGAGACTAGTTGACTTAGAAACCGACTTATATGTTACCCATCGACATATATCCTCCCCCCATAGTTAATACATCTTCTGAAAGTGTACTCACTCGTCTTAAATCTATTGGAAAGGCACTGAGTGCACAAGGCTGAATGGTTTCCAGGGAGATGAGGTCCACCGGGGCACTTTTGGGTTCCACCCATATCAGTCAGCCCCCAAGTACGTCAGTCAGTCAGCGAATGCGAGCGAATGAACGAATGTTGTCCGCTTGTCCGTTGGTCCGTTTGTCCGCGAATCTGGCCAGGAGGTGGTCCGTCGTCCGTCTGGCTATCCACATGCACATGCAATGGCCCTGGCTTCGCCTCTCGGTTCTGGCCGGGACTGGATTGGCATGCGATGCCCGAGACCGAGGCCGAGACCGAGTCCGGGTATTGAAAACGTAAGGGGGGAGAGACGGAGGGACTGTATCTGAGAGGACTTCTCGAGTGCAGACACCGGGCGAATCAAAAATGCCAGAATTGAAATCGCATTTTAAATCATCTTCCAGTGGTGCCGCTCCTTGCTCTCTCCTCTCTTCCCCCATCCTCGTGGTTCACAGTCACAGTCACAGTCACAATCGCCTCAAATCTCGAATAACAAATCGCATAATTACGGGGCAGCGACCGTCCATTGCCTGCCCTCTCGCTCGCACTCACACCTTCTTCCGGTCGCGGGAATCGGTCTATCTCGCTCGATTCTTCTGCCTGGAAGCGCAGAGAAGAAGGAGCAGAAGACCCGAGATGGCAGATATGAAATATTTTAGCTAAATGGCAGCCAACGAAATAAAAATGTGGGATTGAAGCGTATAAATCAGCGCGAGAGCTGTCTCTATCTCTGTCCTTCTCTATCTCTCTCTCCTTGCCTCCTTGTGAGCCTTCATTAATATGTAGATATGTGTGTGTATGTGAAGCATAAAATCAACCTGAGGCGATAAATTGAAACGATTTTTGCACTGAACACGCAATTAGTTCTCCACTAGTGCCTGTCTCCCCATCCGTCTCTCGACCACTTCCTCCCTCCCAAGTCCACCTCCGGAGATTGAAAGAATAATCTGAAATAAAAATGATCCCAATGACATCTGAGAAATTGTTTTCATTCTGCGTTGCAAAATGAGAGGTTATGATTCTCCTCCTCTATGGTACTTTTAGGCCCGATGGCTAATAACACGGGAAACGTTTAGAATTTTATCGAGATTACTATGTAGATATCTTGAATTGATTAAAATTGTGTCGAATTAATATTCTGTTAATTACACCGCTTCGCTTCGGGGCCACTGAAAAGTTAAAAGTCAAGGACACTTTATACAGTTGGTAAATATCAAAGTTTTAACTTACTTTTTTGAATTTCTGTTTAAAAAGCTAAATATATGGAAAGTATTTGATTAATATTTTATGCATGCTTTAGTACAGAGCCAGACGTTGTATTAATAGTAAAAGAAGGAAGAAGAATCAACTTTTTAAAAAATAATTCTTTTTTTTTTGTGGTAATAATTTATAATTAATTAATAATAATTAATAGCCTTCGGCACGCCGAAGTTTATATACCCTTGCAGATAGAACTTTGATTACTAGGAATTATTACAATATAATTTATATTTGTTTATGTTAAACTAACTATATGATATAGTAGTCTAATTTTTTTAAAATTTAACACAAATTGTAGAATTATATGAAATGGCTATATCTCAAATTTGATAAAAATGTGTTGAAAACTACAAAAGTTATAATTTTTAATTGTATTAATTTCTCGATCGTTCCTATGGGAGCTATGTGATATAGTAGTCAGATTTTTATAAAATTTTACACAAAATTTTAGAATAATATAAAATGGCTATATCTCAAATTTGATTCTATTGAAAACTGAAAACGTTATAATTTTTTTTTTTTTAATTTTCCGATCATTCCTATGGCAGCTATATGATATAGTCGTCCGATCCGGCCCATTCCGACATATATACGAGTAAAAGTATATAGAAGACTAACTACAAAGTTTCATTCAGATAGCTTCAAATCTGAGACAGACGGACATGTAGTTTTCAAAACAAGGGTGTTTATCTTAATTTAACATTTTTAAAGAAGTCCAATTATCATCGGTAAAAGAAATTACCTTAAAAACAAAATTACTATGAAATTTCAAAATCATCATAAAATATTTTTAAACTCGAAACCAAATCGGGATAAGCCTATGTATGTATGTATATTAACATTATACAAATTTGTACATACATATATAAATACATATGTATGTTTGAATATCTTGATCAGCATCACCAGCCGAGTGGATTTCGCCCTGTACTAGGGAACTTAATTATTTTATCTAAATGTAATAAAAAATAACAAATAAATAATTTAAACAAACAATAAATTAAAGCCACAAAAATATTATATTTGGTCTCAAGTCGATAGATAAGATATAGATATATATATATATATATATATATATATAGATCTTAAAGGCTGTTTATTAAATAAAAATAAATATATATATTCAAAAATTTATTTTAGTATTCTATATAGTAAAATGTATAGTTAAACAAAATATATTATAAAAAAATAAACATTTACAGCTTTTTTATGTCAAAATGCATATGTACATATAACTATTTAGTTTAATTAATTATACGCATTCGATTTATAGCCCAGTGTAAATTGTATTGTTTCATTGTTTCTCAAGACTCTTCACTGTCGAATGCCACAAACTGAACTCATTCGAAGTCAGAACGCACTCAGTTTTTCGAATATTGCTCTTCACTCAAAATGCGCTCTCTCACCAAGGGACGCGCAACTTCGAAATTCGAACTTGACTGAGAAATAATGCCATGACGTATGGTTGCTCGTGAAAAGTGCGCTGTGAATAAAAGAAAGGTTTCTTGTTTAAATTAAACGATATAAACAAAACACCGCGATTCAGTTCAATTCAACATTTAAGGAACACATCAAGCTAAATCTGAGGTTTACAGAATTCGTTAATTTCCTTCAGGTATTTATCGCATTTTATTTCAATCTGTTGGCGTCCACAGAAAATCAGCTGTTTGCTTGTGGCTGCAGGCAGTGGCGCTGGCATATTTTTATTAAAAGGGTTCCGTTTAATATTGAATTAAATGCTTGTTAAACTATTTTTGTTATAAAACAAAGGATAAAAGTGATTATGTATTAATCGTGTATGAAGTAAAATCCGTTTTGTTTAAGTTGATTACATTCAATGGTTTAATAGCGCCTTCTTTCCGCACGCCACTGAACATAGCATGTCTCGAAACTGGTGAGCGAAATAGAGAGTAAGAGAACGCTGAGAGCGGTTCTAAGAGCGTTTGAGTGAGGTCGCATCTTCTGCTTGTTCGAACTTCGAACTACGTATGTTTGTGTGTATGAGTTTGAGTAGAAATTCACTCACGACGGCCGTTACAGATTTAAAAATTTTTAGTAAGTCATTATTTACCTAGTATTTATTAATTTGTTCGCAATGTGTAATGTGTTTACAATGTGTAAGAGATTTCTTAATGCAGCAAATAATGAAGTTTCGCAATCAATTAAATAATTATATATTATTGAAATGAAAGGTTTAACTTTTGCTTTATTTTAAGATGGAAAGATCTAAATATATGCTTTTAGAGACAACAATTTTATAATTTTAATGTTTTTTGTTGTAATAATGTTACTCTAAAATCATTGAATTTTTTTTTTTTATCAATTTAAAGGTTAACGTTGCATTCCAAAATTATCAGACATTATTAAAAGCCAAGATTGAAATGTTTAGAGAAAAATTAAAGCTTTTGAATACGAAATAAAAAAATGATAAAAAATCAATATTTCGGCTATGTGTGTTATTTTTAGGGCCTTTTTATAGATAAAAAAAACAAAGCAAATAACCAATATTTTGCGAAACAAATAGAACTCGCGTCAATTTGTTAGTTTTTAGTTAATTAGTTTTTTATAAATTTTTTAGTTGTTTTTTTTTATAAAGATCAGCCTACGATCTTCCAAATTTATTGTTTAATCAGAAATGTAGGCGAAAGTTCTAAAGTTTTTTAATATCGTGCCGTGGAGTCAATGACAAAACAAATTTAGAATTTATTACTCAAATTATTTGTTTTTAAGATTTCTAATATATGTTTTTGTGTAAAACTTGTTGAAATGTATTTATAATTACTACACATACATATATACATATGAAAACAAAATAAAGACAAATATACACATGCACATAAATTTTAAAATCCCCGAAATAAAATGTTTGAATTTAAAGAAAAACGGAAAACTGTTGTTTTTTAAGAGATCTGATATAAAAAATGTGACGATGACACATTATCAGAGCTTTAATCAAATAAACAAAAAATGTTGGTCAAAATGATAAAATCTTGTTTTACGGTTGCAAGCAATTTTAATTTTAGTCAGAAATTTGCAACGCAGTAAGGAGTCATTCTCGTTTTAAAATTCATTTGTGTATATCCGTTCATTTGCGTACATTATCCGTTAATTTGAGTTTTTTTAAATATAAAAAATGGAGCGACAAATTTAATTCTTTCACGAATAATTAACGATTAATTAGCGGAAAATTTTGAGCAACAAAGTTAATGAAGATATTTAAATTTTCAGGAGTTGCCCTTCTATCTTGATATCAAGGACATTTAAAAAATTACTGTAAATCATTTAAACGGTAATTTTTTTTCGTTCATGAATAATTAACGGAAAATTATGGTATAATCAATGATTGGATTTTCCTTGCTAACTTGATGCACATCGTCAACAGTCGAGTTGATCTAGCCATGTCCGTCTGTCTGTATGTCTATTCGACTGTATCATATACATACATACATATGTATCTGCCATAGGAACAATCAGGAAATCGAAAGAAAAAATTAAAACTTCCCAATGTTTTAACACATGTTTAACCACTCTAAAATATGGACTTTATGTATTATTTAATTTAATTTAATTTTGTACAATTTGACTATATATATATAAAGGTGTCATAATGTGTAATTATAGGGAAAAATTTAAAATGTTGTAAATTTGCTTTTAGTAACCCTGGGATAAACGTACTCTTTTATTAATTATATTAAAAAAACTTTATTATTTAATTCAATTGAAATGGATTGATTCTCAATGATCTAATGGAAAATTGCGAGCGTCGGCTCACTTTCTTATATATGTACATACTTATATATAATAATATGTAGGTATTATTTAGAAGAATTAATACGTCCATAAGATTTGTACATACGACTTATTTTTCGTCTATGTCGGGGCGGAGCAACGACTCTCCAGCGTTCAGCGCAAGACGAAGATAAAATCCAAAACCAACCCGACAGAGAACAAACAAAAACGTCTATCTCGCTCCCACATCCGCCTGTCAATCAATCACCTGTCACAATGGCCACGCTCACTATCCCTCGAGAAGCACACAGACATTGTGCACTCTGAGTACCCTATATACAATCATTTGAGATGGAAATCGACCTTAAATTTCGAAGATCTAAGTACCTTATTACCATGTTCAGTGTTTAATTTCTCTTAATTCTTAAGTCATGAACTAAAATTATTTTTATTTAACAAACGAACAAAGTCCATTTAAATACTTGTTGTTTCCTATTTTATTTTTATTTTATTCCTAACTAACTACTATATAACTATTCCTAATTTAACATCTGTTTTGTAATAATGTGTTTTTTTAATGAGAATTATCGGTTATTTCATTTTAATGTTTAAATCTTATACGTGTACTCAAAAATAACTCGTCGTTTCATTAATTTTATATTGGCAGTGTAACTTTTTAAGAGCCTACTGTTCATATATCGAAATAATTAATAATACTACAAGGTGTTCCAGCAGTATGTATTATTATAAATAAAATATATAAAATTTGAATAAATACATATATATTTTTTTTTAAAGGAAGAACTGCGAAAGAAATAGAATTGACTTCAAAATATATTATTGATTAAATTTAAATTCAGAAAAAATTGTCTTAAAATATTTGGTTCCATATTGCGGACGCTTGAGCTACTACGTATTTACTTAAGAAACAATCAGTTTTTAGCTATTTTTAAATGAACACTATTAGATACTCAGTTTTAAGTCAGATGCTTCAAGGTTAAAATATTTGTTTACTTTGAGCTTAATTTGTATGATAGATTGTGCTTATACATATGTACATATATTTAAAGGCATATATATATATTTATTTATTAAATAAGCACGTAATATAGATTTTGGAAAAAAAGAATTAATTTTTAAAAGAGTTTAAAATATAAATACATTTCTTTACCTTATATGTTCATATTATACAATCTGTTATTCAGAGTTCATAACATCTTGTTCCAATATGCTATTCCTCTTTCCAGATGAGAAGCTAATTTAAATAAAAGAGTATTGGAAATTTAAATCCAATTTTGAGGAAATGTTTTTAAAATTTAAATTTAAATTTAATTTAAATCCTACTAATAACGTGACTCAGTTAAACTACAAACCAAATGAAATGCTTTACAAATCGAAACCGTTTTAAAATTTGAAGAAGTTACAAAATCGAAGCTAATAAAAAATTAAGTTGGGTAACTATCTTAGAATACACAGTATTACAAATTGTGTGCTTTTGTTCGAATTAATAGGAAAATAATATATAAATCCTTTAAGAATTTAAATGTAGAATCTCACAAAGATGATCTAAGTGGTTTTTATAAAATAGTTATTCTTTGGAAAGTTTATTTGTGACATTTTCAAGCCAACAGAATGCTGGTCAAGAATATAAGTATATACTTTATTTAATCGAATCTATTTTCTCTCTTTGTTATATACATTTCCAAAAACCGTACATAGTCCTTTGTCTTTGTCTTGGAGTCTCGCATGTAATTAGGCTTAGGACTCTGAAGAAAAGGCCAACAAATGATTTCAAAAAGGGGTGGTAAAGGCGGGTAAAAGGGTGAGTTTGGGGGTTAAAACGGGGTGAAAGATGAAAGACACGAAGGACCATTAAAAAATGTTTAAACTGCCAGCTGGTTGAGCTGACTGACTGGACTGACGCCTCCAAGGCCAAATAAAGGGGAGCAAAAAAAATGGGGCGGCAGGAGGAAAATTGTGTATACTTTCTTCGTTCTTACTTGACGGGGATCCCTGCCTTTGTTTTTCCACTGCCAAGCGCCTTACTGCTTTTGTTTCTCATTCCTTCCTCTTCCACCCACATTTTTCCGGGCTGGTAGGAAAATCAGTTTGAGTTGTGTGATTGTGTACGTGAGCATAACGGCTACAATGGCCAAGGCCGGGGCCAGGCTGGGGGCAGTTGGGCCCAATGGCCACCCCCCTGTCAGAATTGATTGATTGAATTGCCACTTTATGAAATTTGTGAGTCTTCGGAGATGTGCGTGGAAATTCGTGTTCTCGTCTCGGCTCTTCCCTTCCTTTCCCCCTGGGGTGGCTTTCCTCGGTGGGTGGGTGGTTTGGGTTGCGAGGGGCTCTTGTGCGTCCCCGTGCCGTGCGGCGAGGGTTGCTCCTGCTGATTTGTGTTTGTGTGCGCTTTGGCTAACAATTTGCAGCATAAAATACATAAAATTATGTGTTGCGCTGAGGCGGCCATTAAACTTGATAGATTTATGAAAAACAGCAGCCGAAGCGGTATCCAAAAGCGTAGACGAAACTGCCAGGGGGTTGAACTCTTGGGGCACCCAACCCCCGCAAAGATACAGCTGATTAAAATTGCAAAATTGTCCAAATGAGATTTGGCAGTCAGACGATTCTGGTGAATGTCAAAGTATCAGAGCTGTCCGAGGGGAATGGAATATATTTGCTTGTATTAATAATACAAAATGATTTCTATTTAAATACGATTTTCATACTTCTTTTATATAAAGTCAGGATACGAACTTCATTATTTTTCCTTACTGAAAATAGGCAATTAAGCTTTCTTCTGTCTTCTCTTCCATTCATTTCGATAGTTGTCTTAGGATGAACTCAATATAATTTAATCCCTTTCCCTCCTAAGCTCCACAC